CTCAATTTGCATATCTGCCATTATTAAATGAGGGTCAGTGTCTTTTAATACGTTTGGGGGCATTTCTAGTTCTTCCAGAATTTTCTATACATATCCCTGACCTGCTCTTTTCTGCTTTTCTTTGATTCACAGGATTTCTCCGGATAATCTGAAACGAGTTCTGTTCGTGTTTTGGAAACGTTTTCTCTTCTACAGCTGCTGTCTTTCACCTTGTCGACAGTGGCTTTTGCCAGGCAAGAGGCTTCACTGTAACGTAATCAAGCTTCCAGATCTTTTTCACTTACGATTTACATCTAAGGACTAATTTCCCATCCCAAGGGCACACCGATATTCTTAAAAGTAACGTTTTCAGAAGTGGGCTAGTGTATTCTGGAAATTTAGCAATTTTAATAGCTAGAGAGGGGTTGGCAAATATCTTCTGTATAGAGCTAGATGGTAAAATGTTTTAGGCTTTGCCGCTCCTACCATCTCTTGCAACTTCTCAGCTCTGCCCCTGTAGCCTGAAAGCAGCCAGAGACGATAAGCAAATGAACGGGATGGCTGTGTTACAGTAAAACTTTATTTACAAAAACAAGTGGCGGGCCAGATTTGGCCCACAGGCCGTAGTTGGCTCAGCCTTGACCCTGACCGTCTAAGTCAAGTGTCAGGAAGCCGACACCTCCTTGCGGCCTTTAGCGGTGCCCCACCAGGTCCGTACAAGTTCGGGCAATTGCATTTGAGATTCGTACAGAAACAATTATGTATGAGAGAGACCTAGTTTTATTTCCCTGAGCAAAGGACCTATCTTCGTGCGTGGTCTGACTCTGGACAGGCCGGTTGGCTAAGTCCCGTGCAAACGAGGCCGAAGTTGAACACTGAGTGCTCCTGAAAGCTACATGGCCATAGCCGGGACATCAGCACCCTGCCACCGGGTGGGCCGGTGACTGCCAGGAAAAGCACGCCGGGGCTCAGACAGGCTGTCTACTTGGCAGGGCCCAGTTCAAAACGAAAACGTGGGGCCCCTTGTTCAGAAAGCATTAAGACTTGTCAGACAACAGCAGCCAGACATTAAACCAGGCCTGGGACCCTCCTAAGCACGGGGCCCTGTGTCCACCCATGAAGCCACCCTGCTTGGATCGCCTAGGGTGGGGGCTGGTGGGGGGGGAGATGTCAACCCACATCAAGACCTTGGAGGAAATTGTTCACAGGCCGTGCCCACCGGTTGGCATGTGTCCAGCACCCATGTGGCCCCCGCCCGTCCATTCCACCGAAACTTGCCTCATGCTCCGTGTCAGTCTTAAATGCAAGTTCCTGAAAACTTTTCATTTCCCCGTGTGTTGTTTGTGGGTTTCGCTGCAGCTGAAACCCAAGGCCCTGATCGTATCTGTTTAAAGCCACAGTCCAAGTTCCTCTGCAGACAAACGGCATGCGGGGCGTGGAGGTTCACGGGGGGGACTCCTCCCGGTTTACTCTCGGTGCTCTCGGTTCTGCCCCAGCTGTCTCCGGTCAGCACGTGTCGTCCTTGGAAAGAAACCTCTGGGGGCTGAGGAGTGACTGGTTTCTGCTCTGGGAGTTCTGTTCTGAGATCCAGAAAGGAATAAATAGCATCACTCCAAAAAACACTCCTGCAGGATGCTGGATCTCAGCCCGCAGCTGCTCTGGGGGGTGTGGCCCCCGCCCACCCACCCACCCACCCACCCTCTGTGAGTGCCCGTAGTGGGCTCAGTGAGTGCAGGGCTATTCGCAGCCCTTCAGGGCAGAGCTGACCGCAAAACCCAGCAGGGCCACTCCCTCACATCCCTGCAGAGGCCCGGGAAGGGCAGCTGCTTGCCTGAAGGCGCGTGGCAAGCAGGTCGAAGAGCAGAGGCCCGAACCCGGGCTCCCGGCCTTGCGGTCCACGTGCTTGCTCTTCCTCCTCCCTGCTCTGTCCCCTGACCCTCCCAGCTTGGCGTGCTGCTCTCCTGAAGCGTGCTGCGCCTTTTGCTTTTGCTCTTTGGGGCCGTGGCAGTGGTCACCTGAGCCGCTGGACCATTCTTTGTTCCCTGTCACTGCTACCAGAGATGTGCTCCACTAAGGCCACTTAAAGGGGACGGGGTCAAGGAGCAGGGGAGACGAAGAAACCCCCGTTACTTCCTCCTCCTGACCTCTTTGCTGTGAGAGCCACCAGCATGAAACCTAAAATATGACAATTCTGAGTCATGGACCAGCAGGATCCTGTGGAACATCACATCCAAGTCCCCCCCCAGGTCTCAAAGCCCTTGGCCAGCCACCCTTGAAGCCAGGTGCTCAGACTCTGCTTGGATACCATCCATGATGGGGAGCTCACTGCTGCCAGTTGAGCTCTGCACACCGCACAGCCTTGCACAGCTCCTTCCCAGACACCGCAGATGAGCCGTCCTTTTGGACACGAGGAACGTGAACTCTCTGGAAGAGCACGGACTTCAGGAAGGCTGGCTCGGGGCCGGCCTGTCCCTTCATGCCAGCGCCCGGCCCAGGAGAGCTGCCCCATGCACCGTCGGCTAACAAGTGACTCTGGTCCTTTCCGAGCCCACATCTGCGCTTCTCGGCTGCCCCCGCCTGCAGTCTCCCCTGTCCGCGCCTCGCCGGGCAGCCACCTGCCGTGAGGAAGCCCATGAGGGTCGTGCTCGAGGACCCTCCGCATTTTCTCCTGGTGGACGCCTCTCGCTGCCTCGGGGCTTCCTCCCAGGCGCAGCTGCCCACCCCCCCACCCCGAATGGGCCTCAGCCTGTGTCCGTCCTTCTTCATGGGGAGCAGCTGGGAGCCAGCCCGACACCCCCGGTCACGTTCACAGGCCCCAAATGGGCCCTGGAGCATTGCACGGGTGTGTCTGCACGAGTGTGTGTCTGTGTGTGGGTCTCCGAGTCGCCTGCCCGCCGCTCCCGAGAGGGAGAGCCGAAGGTGTCCTCCGCAGTGACAGTCACACGTGTGGACCTCGCCTCAGAAGCACTCGGCTGGGGGCCCGTCACCCAGGAAGTGCTCAGCACCGCTCAGTCATGGCTGTTATCACTGTCCGACCTGTGACTGGGTGACTGATAACAGAGTATCCCCCATTTCCTGCAGGGAGATGCCCGTGGGGGTGCGTGGGGGTCCCTGTGGGGGCCCCAGAGGGGATGCTCTGAGTGGGTGGACCTTTGGGAGGTGACTAGGCCATCAGGACGGAACCATGCTCCGCTCTTCCGAAGGAGACCCCACGCTCCCTGGTCCCCTCGCCACGCGAGGACGCAGGGGAAAGGCACAGCTATGAACCAGGAAGAGGTCCTCACCCTGAGCTCAGACTTCCAGCTTCCAGACCGTGAGCAAAGAATTTCTGTGGTCTGTAAGCCCCCCAGTTGGTGGTGTGTTTGTCGCCGAAGCCCAAACGGAGCCCTGTGACCCCTTTCCGGTCACGTTGTAGCCAGCAGTGGCCCAGAGTTCTGTGCGGGGAGGACCCACACAGCCCAGGGGACGTGGGGGCCGCAGTCCGTGGGAAGCGGTTATGTTGTGTAGATGGAGGCACTTGAATCGCAGCACACAGGGGGAGGGCATGAATAAAGGTTTCTCGTACCAGATTTCATAACCCTGCAGGGGTCAGGGGTCAAAGACGAGTCCTTTAAATGTGTCAGATCGCCACTCACTGGGCAGGATGGTTTTCACATGGACCAGCCTCGGACAGTCCCCAGCCACACTGCCAGCTCGGTGCTGGAGCCCGACTTCAGACGTGGGCTCAGAGGGGTCACGGGGACCTCAGTCCGCAGTGGAGCTGGGACTCACACCAGATGGGTCCCACTCCCAGGCCAGGGCTCTCGTCACTGGGCCCCCGGGGCCACCGTGCGACTTCCTGACACACCACCCCACAGAATGAAAACATCCTCAGCTGTTCCAGCGTGTGAGGCAATCCACATCCTGTTGCCCAGGGTTGTCACCAAATCATTCTAAATGGGGCAATTAGCAGCATGGTTGGTGAAATGGGGAACAGGATTCGCTCTGACCCCTTGAACTTCCCCACTGACTCTGATCTCGCTGAGCATTCATTTTTTTTTAGATGGGGTGGGAGATAACCCCTTTTAACCCAAAAGTTCGATAGCCGCTGCTTCCTGGGGCGCCACCTCTCCCTGGAGAGTTGAGCTTTCAAAACTGGGTCTCAGCAAAATGAACGTGAGGTGAACAAGAAACTAGGGGTACGAAGCAGGACAGTCACCCCAAAGGGCTGGTCTCCTCCTCCACCCAGAGACGTGCCTACGCGGTGGGCAGCAGGACCACCCTGGGCACCGCTGGGAGTCAACAGTTCACATAAAGGAGAGGTTGGAACAGCCGTAAAGCACAGGGGGAGACTGTTCGGTCCCGTCAATAGCATTAGAAGCGCATCGGAACGCTGGGCAGGGGAACGCCCCGTCCAGGCGGGGAGGCAGAGAAATGGGCCCCGGCCACGCGAACGCCAGCGTGGCAGCCGGCACGGCCCTCGCGTGGGGCAGGCTGGCTGCAGGTGCACGAGGCCTTAAAGATGTGGGGAGATTTGACCCAGTAGTTATTTCAAGACTTCATCCCAAGGGAGTGAGTCAAAATGCAAGCAGAGCTTCATACGCACAGACACTCATTTGAGTTGTTACTTGTAATATTGGAAAACCTGAGAAAACAATACCCCGAATGTCTAATAACAAATTCCTGTTTATGAAACAAGAGTCAGTCCCCGTGAAGGGAGAGAACCCGCTCGTGGACGTTCCGTGGCCGCAGACGCTGTGACACCAAGTCCAGTGCCTCCCACGAGGGGAGGCCGCCTCTCCCGTGCGTCTGCCCCAGACGCCGCGCCTCCTCCCTCCTGCGCCGGTCCCCTGGGGCCGCAGAGCAGCTGACGCCCCTGAAAGGAAGCCAGGGAGCGCGGGGTTCAAGCTGGGAAGGACAGGGGCCACGGGCCAGAATGTCCTGCTGCATCCAATTTGAGGCCACATGTTTTCAAATGGGAGACCAGGAAAATAATTGCCTCTTGCAGATTTCACACTTGTTTACTCCACCAGCAGCCTTGCCCCTGTCGCTCCGGAGCTGGCGCGTGGCCTCCCGAAGGAATGGTGCAGAGAGAAGGTAGGAAATCCTGATGCTCCGGCACTGGTCAGCTGTGTGCCCCTGGACTTCTGAGACCACCAGATTTCTCTCTGAGACCACCTCCACGGGGGGCTCAACAAGTGGCTGCTTTACTGGGGGCCGGTTTTCCTTCTGGGTCATCTGCACCCTCTGCCACCACCACCCCTCTCCCCCGGCCCCAGCCATCCCACTCCCGAGGGCTTGCACAGTTTTCAACAGCCATAGATCCCAGAAATCTGGGAAAGAGAAATTTTAAAAACCACAAAAGAGTCTTTAAAAAAAGAAGAAGGAAGAGGAAAAACACTTTTACGCACTGTCCACACCTCTGTCACTCTCAGTGAGCTTCGGAAGGGACTCCGACTCAGTGGCAGTGTGGGCAACCCCCAATCCCTCCCCACGCCGACCGAGTGGCGAAGGCAGTCGCCGATGCCCGGACCGCTTCTCCTCCAGCCCGCGGGGCCCCTGCTCCGAGGGCCCTGTGCGCTCCCACGCGGTGCTGCACAGCGCACGCTCCTGGTGCCTCTCCACCGCGGGTCCCCTCTGCCGCCCACCAGTCAGACCCGGGACGGCAGGGACTAAGCTGACAATAATTCATAGCGCCCCCCCTTTTCTCTGGAGAACAGCCCTTTGTCTGGGAGGATACGCCCTCCCTCGACCAAGGTCAATGTCAGACCGACTCCGTGGAGTGAACAATAGACTGGCTTCCTGCCTCAAGGCTGCTCTGACGCTGGGACAGAGTTCACAGCCCACGGCTCCCCTCGCCCTTCTCCCCAGAGCTGTCTGCCAATAAACCACCGGGACAGGCAGCTCTGACTCCGGATCTGCTCCAGGGAACCTGGGCTGAGCCCGGCTCTGATCTAACAACCCTGAGGACTTCCTCTGACTGGCCCACTACCCTCGGGGGACGTGGAGCCCACGCTTCATCCGTGGGATTGCTGTTCCTTGGGTACGGTGTCTGAGATGGTCAGAGCAGGAGCACAGCTTAGTCGACACCCAGCTCAGCATTTCCCAGAGCGCTCCGGGAAGATCAATAATCCCATGCCATGTGGGGAAACCGAAGGGATTTCTGCCTGCAGGTGCATGTAGGGAATTCTGACTTAGAGGTGAGAAGGATCTCTTCATGAGAGGGCTGCCCGTGGACTTAAATATTCATTCAAACAGATTCTGGAACCTATAGCAGCTTTTCCCCACCTCTGCACCGTTGACATTTGGCTCATTCTTTGCCGTGGGGCCATCCTGGGCCTTACGGATGTGGAGCAGATCCCTGGCCTCTGCCCACGAGACGCCAGTCGCACCCCCACACACCTGCACGACCAGCGCAACTTGTCCCAGGCACTGCCCAGCGTCCTCTGGGGGCCAGAACCTGCCGGCGTGGGGGCCGTTGCCCTAGAAGAAAGGTGGTGTCCACCATACCCTTTTGTTTCCCTCTGGTTTTTCGGCACCCATTGGAACTAGAACCCTGCAGGATGTAACGGAAATCAGCCCAAACCAGCTTCCCTTCTATAGGCGAGGTAACTGAGGCCCCGAAAGGGGAGAGGGTCTCCCCACAAAAACCAAGTGAGTCTGTAACAAATTCACAGCTCCACCGAAGCCCCCCCACACCCCGCCAAGGTGTAGGTGTGTTTCCAGAGGGCGCTGCCAGGCAGAGCAAGACGCAGCCCCAGGTGGGACCCAGCGCAGAAGGAGGAAACCCAGCCTTCTCCGGGCCTCCCTCGGCCACGGCCTTTTCTCCGTCCCCAGGGACCCTTTCGCTCCCGCCCAAACACAAGGTAGGCGTGTTTGGTTTGCTGAGGGCCTTTCTGATAAATGCCATCCTGCAGTTACGGAGAAATCACGGGGGGGTCAGGGGAGAGGCCAGCAAGGGAAGGGTCTGGAACTCGGAGACAGCAGCCCCCAGGCCTTTTCGGAGCTGACCGAGGTGCCGATTCTTCCCTCCAGACCCACGTCACGCTTAACCTCTGCGCCTAACGTCCCGGCCACGCCCCGCCGCCAGCACACGCCCACGGCTCTCCATCCCAGCACCGAGGAGAACACCCTGTGAGTTTGCAATTACGAGACGCCTTCCACTCAGATCCCAGGAGGGAAGGCTCCTTAATGTATTCACACCAGCCTCTCCTGCTTCTTGCTCGATTTTGAAAGTTGTCATGCGTGTGTGTGGGTCCCCCCCCGACTCCCACCTCCCTCCCACCCCCCTCAACCCAAGACTGTTCATTTCAAAACCAGCAGGGCCTTCCTTAACCTGCCTTGGAAATGAGGTCCCAGGAAAAGGCAGCATCTAATTCATCTCGCATGCTAAATTATTACAATGGAAAGGCAAAATCTCCACTGTGCAGCTTTAACAACATCTGTGTTTTCCTTTTGACTTTTGGGGATAATTACCCCAGCTCCTGTTGTGATTGCTAATTACTAAGCTAAACTAACCTGCTGAAGGGCTGGGGGGAGGGGTTCTTTTCAGATCATCTTCCCCCGGAGCATTAAATCATCTGCGAAGGGAAACGGGAAATGTAGAGACACTGCAGTCACCCCACGCGCTCCAGGGTGGGTGACAGCGGGCTCTGCAGGCACCTCCCGCTGGGCGTCCCCGGATCCGGGCCAGGGCAGGGGTGGGGGCCGGGGGGACGCAGCGGGGGGACTGGATTTAACCAAACTGCTGGGCGTGCAGTTATGTTGATCGTGGATGAATAATTGATTGGACTGAGACGTTTTACGTGTTACAGACACTAGACCCAACCAGGATTCCAGAAACTCGACAAACCGTATTTTGTATTGAACCAAGAACCAACAACAAAGTGTTCATTATGTTTTTTAATTGTACTGAAAGCCGTGGGTAGCTGGCAACTCTTCCTGGATCGGAACCAGTGAGGGCTCTAGGCGGGGGCATTACCAGGTCGCAGTCCCACCTGACACCTGACACCTGACACCTGACACCAAGGCCTTCCCCTAAACAAGCTCGGAGACCTGCCCTTCCAGCGCGATGAGCCTCTGGGCTCCCTGGGTACAAGGAAGACCCAGCCCCAGGATGCATCTGCGGGGTGGGGCAGAGGCCAGACCCACAGGGAGCCCCACATGCAGAGGGCAGCTGGGCTCTGGCCGACAGTCCCCTCTGAGCGGCCCCACGACTCCGCCTCCCGAGGGTGCCCCTCCCAGGCTGGAAGAGGCCGCGTGGCCCTGGAAAGAGATAATCAGGGAAGGCTTCCTGAAGGAGGTGGCATTGATGGGGGGGGGTGAATCTCAACAGCTGCATAGAGGCGGGGAGTGGGACTTCCAGGCAGAGAAGAGCCTGCGGAAAGCAGCTGGCCAGCCCCCCAGTGCACTGCACTATGGCGGTGAGACCCAGAGTGCAGGCCCAGGCCATGGGGAGCGAGGTGGAGAGCAGGGCGGGGCGACCACCGAGGGCGTCGAGCCGCTAGACCGGAATGCAGTGCTCAGGGAGCCGCAGCACAGGAGAGGGCAGGACCTCTGCTGGGGGACTCTTCACACACGCCCACACCCACTGTCACACCGCTCGGGCACACTCACACGTAATCACACACACACGTGCTCACACACTCAACACAGACATACTCACACACACCCGCACACACTCACACCCTGACGGCGGCCGGGTGTCTTCCCCCAGAGCGACAGAGTGAGACCGCCCGTGGCAAAGCCTGCACCAACACCGCCACCCCAGCCGCACACGCCACGGGGCCAGCCCGCTGCCCGGAAGGGCGGCCGCAGACCAGCGGTGCCTTGGAAGGCAGAGCGCTCCCACCCGCGTGGTCACCCAGCTCCGGCGGCACCCGCTTCCCTCACTCCCCTTTTCTTCTCTCCTCCTAGGATTTGATTTTCTAGAGGATTCCCCGGGGGTGCCTAGGAGGGTAGGAGGAGGCAGAGCAGGAGGGATACAGCATGACAGGCCCATCCTTCCCCACGGGGTGCACAGATCTGTCGCCCCTGGTCCCCCCATCTGACAGGCTCACGTCCGGGAGCCCCACCTCGCAGGGGCTCAGCCTGGCGGAGCCTCACCTCTGACCCTTTCACCTTGGCCTCAGCTTCCTGCCTCTTCCTGCGGCTCACAGAACCCAGCAATCGTCCTCAGTGGAGGCGCCTACACACTCTTACAACATCTGCCTGCGAGTCTAGACGTTTCTTACACCGACGGCTCTCACAACAGCTGGGCGGCACACCCGAGATTCCCATTTCTAAGCCGACACTCAGAAACTGAGGGGACGGGTCACGTGGCTCGTCGGGAATGTGCAGGAGCCGGCACTAACGCAAGTCCGAGTGGTCCCCAGGCCCATCTGGGGACCACCCTGTCAGACTGGGGATGCTCCTGGAACCCCAGCGCCCAGAGACACGCGGTGACCTTCTGGAGGGGGGCCCGGCCCGGCAGCCTCAGCCTCACCTCGAGGGACCTCCCGGGCCTAAGCAGGTGCAGGTGCGGCCTCTGTGTCCCCGCACGGCGTCTTTTCTGGATTCCGCTGTCCTCTGGGTCCTGCGCTCGCTCCTCCCGTCAGCGTGGACTGCCCGGCATCAGGGTTTGCACACGAACTGCAAAGATTTCTCAGACGGGGGGTGAGACTTTCTCCGGGGCCTCGGTGCTCCGAGTTTCTGTCCCCTGGTCCTCGTGGCCCCGTCCTGAGGGCCGCACAGGCCGGGGGGACAGCGCTGCCTGTGTTCCCCGCTGCTTGTGGGGGGCGGAGCTCCCCGCATCCCCGCTGGTGCCGCAGTCTGGTCACCTTTGGGGGAGGAAGAGACTTTCTCCCACTTTTCTAGGTTCCTCCGGCTGGTCTGCTACTGAGATCAACAGGAGACGGATTAACGAGAGAAAACAACCGCCTCTAATTACGTGCGGCTGCGTGGGAGCCGCCTGCAGGAGAGGTTCGGGGACAGGGAAAATGAGGCTTCTGCCCCTGCGTGAGGGGGCAGGGGGGGCCCTGGGGTTTCGGTGGGGGCAGGCGGAGGAGCCACGGGACAATGAGACAAGCAGATGTTCGGCCATTCGATGTTTGTCCTGCCCCAGAGATGGGCCATGAAAAGATATTTCTGCTAAGAACGCTTACCGTGGGCAAGGCCCCCGCTTTAGACTCTTCTAGGGAGTTGACGGGGGACGGCAGGTTCTCCTGAGCACACGGGGTCTCAATGGGTTCACCCCCAAATAATCCACATGCCCAAGGGGCCCGCCTTGGGAAGGCCTGTTCTGAACCCCCTGGTTCCCCTCCTAACTATTCAACAAGACGTCACCAGCGCCCTTCCCAGTGTCCCCTGCACAGCCTCCACGGCTTTCTGACCCGCCTTTTCTGGGTCCCCGGACCCCGCCCCTGGCCGCTGGGAGGCCCTGGCAGCAGAGCCAGTGGGCATGGGAGAGAGGAGCCCCTTGTCTTTCCAGGATCCCACCTTCCGTTCGGGGAGCAGCCCTGACACCCTGTGAAAGACGTTTTCAGGCAAGCGATGGCACTTCCGCCGGCGAGTGCTCGGCAAGCGAAGACAGCCCTCCTGGAGGAGGAGTGCGGACAGTGTGTCGACGGTGACCTCGCCGCAGACCAGAAGCCCGCTGGGGGAGGAGTGCCGTGCGCCAAGGAAGCCCACCTGCACAGGGGGCTGGAGTGGAGGACGGGGGGAGGGTAACGCAACAGCCCAGCAATCTTCCTTGTTCCGGGAGAAAATGCAGTTGGGCCGATTGTGATTACCTACGACATCCTAACGGGTCCCGCGGCCCCTTCTCCTTCCTCCTTCCCTGCAGACGTGAGCACGTGGGGCTCCGCGCACTCGGCAGCAGGGCCCGGAGACGCCCCGGGATCTTCCCGCGGCCCCGGGTTCCGGACGAACGTCAGCGCCAAGTGGGGCGGGGGAATTGGGATTCTGACGGTGTCTGCCAGCCGGTATCCGAATTTCAATCTGGAAACAGTTGACCTTGAGGTGCTCTGAGGAATGAGGAAGCGCCAGAAGCGAGAGAGGGCTCTGTTCCCATCAGCGCCGCTGCTCTTCGCATCAGAATGAGGAGGAGGAGGAGACCGGGGTGGCGGCTGTAGCCCCGGAACCCCGTTTCTGTCTGTCCCCTCGTCGCTTCCAAGTACCCCTGGCCCACCTGATGCGCCCCCCCCCCCCGGGGGACTTGACCCCTGGAAGGAGCGAAGCACTCGCTGGGCATTACTCTGTGCCTGAGTCCTTCCCTGCAGTCACCCTGAACCCATCATGGCCAAAACACCGGGTGCCCAGGAGCGACCCCGAGAAGTCCACGCGGCCAGGAAGCCTGCTGCAGGCAGGATTCAGACTCGGGGCCTTCACTGCAAAGCCCCTGTTCTTTTCTGCGCCCGAAGAGACTAAGAGGAGAGAGTGCGACAAAGGAATGACTCACGAATGGTGGATATTTTGACACAGTGGATTTTGTGGGCAGACAGACAGGCCAGGCGTGGGGAGGTCAGGCTCGGGCTGCTCAGCTCAGCTCCGTGGAATCCAGCATGCATGTCCACGGGAGGTCCCTGGGGCTGGGTCCAGGCTGCCCCTCTGTGGGGCGTGGTGACAAGGGGCCTCTAAAATGACCAACTGCATAGCACTGCCGTTTGCAAAACAGGCTGTGGCCTCTCATCCACCAAATTCTCACAAGAACACCGAGGGGGTGGTTGTGCCCACTTTGTAGGTGAGAAGACTCAAGTACGCAAAGAAAGCAGTGGGAGTGCGATCTGAAGGCCTCCTAGTCCCGGCCTGCTTCAGCTCACCCCCCCCACCCCCGCCCCCAAATAATTTTTGACTACAGTTATCTCCAGCACCACTTCCGGCCTGTGTGTCGGATGATTTATGTTTCCAAAGCCGCATTTTCATGTTTACAAGACTGACTGGTTTCAGCTCCCCAGGATTCAGCACCAGACATCAAGAACTGTTTTCATAAAATAAAAGCAGGGGGATGGGAGGCGTCCGCTTCCATTTGAAAGGTTTGTTGTTTCCCTCCCTGGGCCAAGCATGAAAACTGGAAGGAATCTGGTAACGTATCGATAGCTTTGAGCACTTTTTTAAATTAGTTTCCCATTCCCCTCCACACGCTTTTCCATTCCATTTGAATAAATTCAAGTTCACGTTCCTGAAGGGATGTGCAGGGGCCTCCCCCTCCATGTGAGATGAGTTTGTCAGCCAGGTTCGGGCTGTCAGAAATGCATCCGCCACTGCGGTGACTGGCACAGGCCGTGCACACCGCGTGGAACCCAGACGTCACCGCCGCCCCTGGGACCAGCCCCGAGGCTGCCTCGACGCCCTGACCCGGAACGGGTTTCAGGTCCCGCTTGTCAACTGTCAAGCCGGTGTGGCCGCAGAGGCCTGTTCCTGTCACCGAGACACACAGGGGTCCCTGGGCTCTGCTTGGATACCTTGTTACCCCTTCCCCAGCCTCGCCCCCTCACCCCCATGAACAGACACAATCAGGTGGATTGGAGTAATTAAGAAGCGGGAATGAATGGTGCATCCCTCGTTGTGACTCTTCCCATTGTGTCAGAAACCCTACTTAGATAACAACCTTCGTGGGGGAGGGAAAATCACTTTTGTTCTACCCATCTGTGTTCCTGGCTGAGATGCCCCTGGAATAAGAGAGACAGATTAACGGGGGGAGGGGAAGAGAATTTTAATAACATGCATACGTCCCGTATCCATGGGCGAGACCCAGGCAAACTGAGCAACTCGCCAAGATGGCCAACCACCACCTTAAATGCCGTCTCCAGCTGAAGACAAAGGAAGATGTTGGGGGTGGGGGCGGGGGGGGGCGCCATTCTGGGCGGGTTACCAGGAAACGCACAGGAAACAGTATGGTTGTCAGGAGCATTCAGGTCCTGGCCAGAATTCTCACTGATGAATTTCCAGGTTTAGCCACTCTTTTGACACAGAGAGGGAGACACCCCTACAAATACACATTTCCCTCATAAATATCCATTTCTCGTACAAAAGGGTAGCTTCCACTCGGGTCTCAGAGCTTCTCCTGTGTCTGCTGTCTCTTAAAACTCATCAGCCCAACTTAATCCTCATGCCAGAGAGATACGCTTTGAAGTAACCAATCCTGCTCCCCCTTCACTTCATGAAATAAGTGTCCTGCATCAGGTCAAGGGCAGAGCTGGCTTCCAGCTTGACACAACCCAAGGTTCCATGCATTCCTCCATACAGGTGTGGCCCCCTCCCCCGCACAGACAGGCCATGGGGGCCCGGGCCCCTCTGTGGGGCTCCTGACCTGCCTACAGGTGGGGCCCCATCGGGCTGCTGTGAGACAGAGGCCACTCTGCAGCCAGGGCCCCCCGTGTGCCCCGGGCACACCAGGCCTCCGGCTCTCACAGGCTGCTCCGGAGCACCGAGTGACCTACCCAGGGCTCTGCAGCTCAGGGGTGAGCACTTGAACCCCATCGACAACGGCAGGGTCACCTCTGAGTTCCTCTGTGATGAACTTAAGGGACAGGTCCCTAAAAGGGATCTGACCAGGGGAAGAACAATGTTCCCTTAAAAGAAAACCACTGAAAGCAAAGGGGTCGACCAGTTGGTCGGACTGAGTTGCCCAGTGGTTCAGGAGGAGGATATGGAGTGTTCTGGCCTGACCGCTCTTGACCCGTTCCTCCCCTCCCCACCTGCCCTCACCCCCTGGGGCCTTGGACGCTGGGAGGAGACGGCAATGCTGGAGAGGAAGGAACTGGCCCGCTAGGACCCAGCAGCGCTGCCAGAGGACTGTCTCTCCGAGAGCTGGTGGTGATGAGTGATGAGGCAAAGGAGCGGCGGGCTGGGCGGCAGGGACCGGCCGGCCGGGACCTGAGAGCAGCAGAGTGCAGCGGGCCGCAGGCAGCAGGAGGGTGACAGTGGCGGGTCCGGGAGTGCGGGGGGAGGGGCCTGCAGAGCAGGACCTCCCAGCTGCAGTTACACACCTGGGGCCCCACCCCCACCTCGGCAACTCCCAGAAGGAATAAACAGATGGGAGGGTTCTGGGGAAGATGGGCTCCCCTGTGGGTCCACTCTGTGGAAACCCACATTGAGATCTGGGGTGCTGCTGCCGAGGTGACTCATTTCCACCAGGAGGGGAGATGTTTTCCACTCACCCCCCAAACAGTGTTTCCGGCTCATCTGGCAGTACACCTGGCGTACATAGCGAGCAGGAGTCTTCTCCCTATGTGGTCTGTATTTCTAACGCTGCGTTCTTTGGATTTATATCTAACGACGTGTGTGTTTGGCAGACAAATGGAGGTCTCCACCTGACCCCAGTGTCCCTCGCCCCACCCAGTTCTAGTCCTGCTGGTGGGACAGTGCGCCTGGCACCCCACGGACTCTGGGCGGCCACCACGGAAGGCTGTGGTTTGAGCTCTGCTGTCTCAGGTCTGGTACGTGGTCCACCTGGCTTGGGGGGGGGGGGCGGGAGGGAGGGGGGGAGGGAGGGAGGGAGGGAGAGGGAAGAAAGAAAAGCTGTAAATTCCAAAATTTTCCGCCAAAATTATTTAGAGCATTACCTTCAAACCCATGGGCTCTAACACGGCGGCTATTTTAATTTTTCTAGCTTACATTTTGGTCCTTTCCTGCCCACAAGTTAATTTTGCATTTATAGCTGGAGACTTACAATCTTTCCACACATGAGGTGGTGTTTTTTCATCTTAACATTTTCCTACATGTCCCAATATAGATTGAATGGCTGAATACGCTCCATTGAGTAGGCAGAGGCAGAAACATTTTCCCTTCTTCCCTCCTAGGTTCTTTAGCTGGTCTAATAATTAAATTCACGTACAACAGGTTAATGGTGGTGGGGGGGGGGGACAAATTTAATTTCCTAGGTACAGGAGCTCCAGAGATATAAGGGCAAGTCGCCTGAGGCTTACACGCCGTCCTGAGCTAAGGCGTGGGGCAGGGTCCCGAGGCCTCCGA